TAGGTAAAAGAGGTAAAAATAAAATAATCCTAATTTGAAGTATAATAAAGCTCTGCTGATTGTAAATGGTCTTAAACATTGGAGTTAATGCATGACCGCTAATTCACCCCTTAACCCTGAAGGTTGGCGTGCAGACTGCTGGTCACCATAGCGATGCAGATAACAACCTCACTTAGCTAGCAGCTAACAAAACGGCAAAGAGAAAGATTTAAGATGAACATTGATGATTTGGAGACAAATGGACTTATTTGCATTTATAATCACTCCAGCTGGTTTCCTGTTACGTTTAGTCTGCAGCGAGAAACTGTCAACCACTAACAAGTTGTGAAGCTGAAGTTGCTTCTCATTCGCCAGCTTCTTGTTTGAATTTTCCCTTTCCACTTTAAATGGTGCAGTTACATTAATTTAAGGTGGAATGAGAAAGTTCAAACAAAAAGCTGGTGAATGAGAAGCGACTTCAGCCTCGTAAAGAGACGTTTTACAAGAAACTATTCTACTTTTGCAGAAAAGTTTCCTGCCAGAGATGTGAGAAAAGCAGCTATAAGTCTGTGTTTTCTCATTTATTTTAAATTTGTTAGCCCATACTAGGACATTAGCACATACTGAGACATATTCACAGCCAGTATGGTAAAACGGACATAAATGTTGTGGCTCCCAAGGTGGTTTGATTTTTGTTGAAAGGACAAAATGTCTCTTCTTAACGTTTGGGTTGCCGACCCCTGGCCTAGAATCACGTATTTTCTCGCTAAATTGGTCCCACCAATTGACTCCACCATCAGTTCCTTATTAGTTGTTAATCTGACACATTAGGCCTCCAGTTCAGCTCCTGAAGTCCTAACCAATGGGAGAGCTTGCTTTGCAATATTTACATAGGTAACTCGCAGAAAAAAAATCTGATTGGACAATTTTCTGTTTCATGATTTTAACCCTTTTCTTTCCAAGTAAAACTATATAATTAAATAAAAGTATAACTACAATGCTTGTGGAGTTTAAATACAACAAACATGATGATTATATTTAATAAAAATGAAATTAAAATTACAGACATGTACTTTCTTTAGTTCCTAGAAGACCCTGATGGTTCTCCTCTGGCAATTCTCTTGAGGCTTTGAGTTTTGGAGTTGATCTTGACCAAAAGAAGACTTAAGCAAGTCCACACGTCCTCAAAAATACACAGCGTATACTGATAAACAAGACTAGATGCAACCACTTCTTTCTCCCACTTGTATCCCCACAAGCCATGCCTGCTGAGCTAGTATTGGCTAGATATTGTTTGTCTTTGTGGTACTCAGAATATTACTAGTTTATGTTTCCGAGGAGATTTGCTTGGTATGCGATATGATTTGACGCACACTGTTTATATTATGTCATTGTGTATACAGACAACTACATAGTATGTAGTGTCTTAAATCATCCACCAAGAACAGACTTTTATGGTTGTGGCTAAATTAAAGGCCCTAGCCTAGGGTTGAGTTTGGCCCACATCCCCCTGTCCAACCTCATCACGAGCGTAACTGATAATCTAGTGAAACAGACTTGATTATACAGTGAACTCCTAATGCCAGGCATGCCTCGTACCGTAAGCCGCACAGCAGAAATAAAATCACCTCTCGGTCGATCTGCCGTCCTAACGACGTTACCGTACAGCCATAATCTCATGAGGAAAACAGACTGGGAGAGAGAGCGCCTCGTTAACAAGATGTAACAATGTTTTCTTGGGACGGCCCATGGAGTGAGCTGTCTGAGAGAGGAGAACAAGACAAGAATGAAATTATTATCCCTCATAGCAAAGTCCTACGTTATGCTAAGAGCTTTAGCAAGCAAGAAAAATACATTTAATTCAGATTAATTGATTATAGGGGCCTACTCAATTTTTCTGGTAATTTTTTTGACATTTTCCATAATTCATTTTACATGGCCATTTTCCAAACTTGCTTTATCCCCTATAATTAAACAGGCAGTTCTGTTACTGTCTCCTTAGGACTGATATATGCAAATGACCTCTGTTCTGATTGGCTGCACTGTATTGTCTGTATTGGCTTCATTCAAAAAGCTTTAGGCTGAAACACGATTTATAACTTCAGCATGGAAGGGTGGGACTAAAGTTCTGCAGACTGAATAAGTGGATGTTTATAAATGTATTTGCTTTTGTGATATCACAATTAAAAAATTATTTGTGATATCTAATTTCGAAGATCAATGGGAGCTCTACACGATAGAGCCAAAAGCTTAACAAATCATGTTTCCTTAATTCTCATTACTGTAATGTCTGTTTCTCATCACTGATATTTATCATTTTTCTGCATCTTTTAATTAGAAAAAATTAGTTTGTATTACTTTCAACATTTGAATCTCTTAACCTTAATGTTTTCTTTGCAAATTCTAATGAGTGAACTAAAACAACATAACGTAGCACAAATAAAAAACTTTAATGGTCATCAGTATTAAGTAATGAGATGAAATTGCAAATGACTATATATTTGTAAAATACATGTACCGTCAAAATACAGCAGGATGCAGACTACAAAAAGAAAATTATTTACACTCATATCTTTATATTTACTGTGTTGCTGTAATAAGAATTTGGTCACTTGCCATAGAAAATGTTACTAAAAATCCATTTTAAATCAATGAAACTAGGCATCACTGTTAACGTACTGAAAAAAGAAAACATTAGGTTTTTGTCATTTTAATTTTTTCTGGTAGGGAAAATGACCTGTTCTGATTGGCTGCCTTGTATTGTGCCTCTTTCATAAAGCTGGGCTGAAACAACTTCTTGTAACATGTAAGTGGGCATGGCCAAACTGCCATAGGCCAAATAGGTAGACAAGCACAACCCCATTTCCAAAAAAGTTGGGACGCTGTGAAAAATATAAATAAAAACAAAATGCAATGATGTGCAAATCATTTAAACCCTATATGTAATTGACAATAGTACAGAGACAACATATCAAATGTTGAGAAAGTGTATTGTTTTTTTTTAAAATATAAGCCCATTTTGAATTTGATGCCAGCAACACATTCTAAAAAAAGAGGGACGGGGGCAACAAAAGGCTGGTAAATTTGTGTAATGCTTAAAAACACCTGGTGGTTAATTGGCAACAGGTCAATAACATGACTGGGTATAAAATAAGCATCCCAGAGAGGCTGAGTCTTCCAGAAGTAAAGATGAGGAGGGGTTCACCACTCTGTGAAAGACTGCACGATCAAATAGTGCAACAATTCAAGAATAACATTTCTCAACATAAAATAGCAAAGAACTTCTGCTTTTCATCATCTACGGTACATAATGTCATTAAAAGAATCAGAGAATCTGGAGAAATCTCTGTATGCAAGGGACAAGGCCAAAAACCAGTATTTGCTGTCCGTGATCTTTGGGCCCTCAGACGGCACTGCATTAAAAACAGACATGATTCTGTTGTGGAAATCACTGCATGGGTTCAGAAAAACTTCTAAAAACCACTGTCTGTGAAAACAGTTCATCACTGCAACCACAAATGCAAGTTAAAACTCTTAAATGCAAAGAAGAAACTGTACATAAACAGGATCCAGGAATTCTGCCACCTTCTCTGGGCCAAAGCTCATTTAAAATGGATTGAGGGGATGTGGAAAAGTGTCCTGTGGTCTGACGAATCAACATTTGAAATTCTTTTTGGAAATCATGGAGACTGCGTGCTCCAGGCTAAAGACCACTCAGCTTGTTATCAGGGCACAGTTCAAAAGCCAGTATTCATGATGGTATAGGGGAGCATTAGTGCACATGACATGGGTGACATGCACATCTGTGAAGGCACCATTAATGTTGAACAATATACACATTTTGGCAAAATATGCTGCCATCCAGACGACGTCTTTTTTAGGGAAGGCCTTGATTATTTCAGCAATATAATGTCAAACCACATTCTGCATGTATTACAACAGCATGGCTCTGTATTAAAAGAGTCCGGGTGCTTAACTAACCTGCCTGCAGTCCAGACCTGTCACCACTGAAAAACATTTGCCACATTATAAAATGAAAAATACGATGAAGGAGACCCCGAACTGTTGAGCAGCTGAAATCCTATATCAAACAAGAATGGGAAAACATTTCACTTTAAAAACCATAGCAGTTGGTTTCCTCAGTTCCCAAACACTTACAGTGTGTTGTTAAAAGAAGAGGTGATGAAACACAGTGGTAAATATGCCCCCGTCCCAACTTTTTTGGAACGTGTTGTTGTCACCAAATTCAACATGGGCATATATTTTTCATAAAACAACAAAATTTCTCAGTTTCAATATTTGACATGTTGTCTTTGTACTTTTACAATGAAATATAGGGTTTAAATTATATGTACATCATTGAATTTTGTGTTTATTTACATTTTGCACAGCATCACAACTTTTTTGGAAATGGGGTTGTAAATGTATTGGTAGTAAATGGGTTCACAGTAGTTTCCATATACGGACTGTGGGAACTGGGGATGTGAACGGTAAGTTTTGAAACTTTAACAGCTTTTACATACAACTCTCAAAGAAAAGTGAGGCAAATTTGGTTGACCTTGTTACTTGAAGTGAACATGGAAAACAAAGCATGTCCTTCTATGGATGAGGCAGAGCAAATTATTTAAGGGGCCCATAGCTTACATTTTTATGTATTTTATTTTTCCCTTGATGTCAACCTTTAATGCCTGTAAGATTTTATGTACATAATTTCGTGTCATAATTCATTTTTACATGACAAGTTTCTAACCTGTTTTTGTCGCTTTGAATTAAACAACCTCTTTTGGCTACTGTGCCTTTAAGACGGATATATCTCGGTTCTGACTGGCTGCCCTGTATTACACCTCATTCAGTAGTAGTCCGGGCTGTAACACTCCTTATAACTGAAGTGTGAGTGGGGGGCTAAATTGCTGCAAGCTGAATAGACTATATGTAACTATCTTGGTTTTTGTGACATCACAACAATAAGGGTTTCAAAACGGTCTTTTTTGCAGGTTAATTCACATATAGAGACTGTATGGTCTGGGTATGTAACAGTGTTTACACACAACATTTATTTATTTATTTTAAACTGTGGAAAATTCAGTTTTCCATTATATGAGCCCTTTAAAAATGCAGAAGACACGTTTGTTTGGACACTACAAAAGGTTTTTATTCAAATAGCGCTCTTTCTGCGTATTACACATACAAACACATCTCTCACACAGTTCTGACACGCTCTTATTCAGGCTTAGACACACACAGACTTGCTCCTCGACCACAGTCAAGCTTCGTCTGGCAGTTTGGTCAGAATCTCCACGCCATCGGAGGTGATAACAACCGTGTGCTCAAACTGGGCTGACCTGGAAATCACACAAACACCGAGGAGTGACTCATACTTAAACAGATACAGTGATTCATGATTAAGGTGGAGCCAAATACTAACATTTATCTGCTTACAATACCTCTCACCCCAGTCCACCTTAAAAAAGTCAGCCCATCTTAACTGCTGACCAAGCAGTGGTGCAGACTGTTCACACCTGCCAGTGGAGCCATCCGGCTATTAGCAATTAGCTTGAGGGCGCTCTCCACAGGAGCCTGCACCATTTAAGCTAAGCTAAGCAAAGCACTTAGCTCCTATGCCATCCTGCTGGACCGCATCTTCAAAAGAGCCTCACCAGAGCCTCACCAGGTCAACAGCCAATAGAAAAGCGGCTGTCCTGCCTTCTCAGTGATAAACGGCCACTCGAGCTCATTAGCAGCAATAGACGATTAATAGGGGCTGGAGTTCGAGGGCTGATATGAGCACCTGAATGTGTGAGAGAGTCTGTAGTGCAGCAGAACAGAAGGGAACTCGGAACCTTTTGTCGTCCATAGAAACCGCAGTCCAGTTGTCGCTAAGGATACGGAATTCCGAGGTTCCTTCCATTAGAATGGGCTCTGCAATGGATTGGAGTTCAGAGAGGGAGAGAGTAAGTATACAAGAAGGAAACAGCAATTATGGAAAGATAGAAATGACCACTCACTCTCTCTCTCTCTCTCTCTCTCTCTCTGAGATACATATGCAGCTGCATGCAAAAGTATTGGCATCCCAGGTAAAATGATGTTTTGTTGATAAGGTAACACATCCTCTATAGCAGGGGTGTCAAACTCAACCACTAAAAGGGCCACATTAAAAAATCTCAACAAATCCGTGGGCCAGAGGACATCTACGTTTTATTTCATTTTTAATTAACGTTTTGCTATAAACCGAACTGACCACTGTTTATTCAAAATACACAAAAACCTCAACAGTAAAATATATCGTTGTAGACTGTGAAATATTACATGAATACTTGAAATATTCAAAATGTAAATGTCCCCAGGAGCTTTTAAACCTACCTATTTGCTTGAACTAGACACCTGGCATCTTTTCTTTGCTGCAAGTTCATTAAGACTTGGGCTCAGTTCCTGAGCTGCTGAGCTGATGTTAAGTGTTTATATTGGCTGAACTGCTGTTAGTTGTTTGGTGATACGACTGGTGTGGAACTGTGCAGAATTGTGTAGAACTTGGGTGTAACTGCTGTCCCACAGATTGTTGTTGGAGTCGGAGCGCACATTATGTTACAGTGCATGCTGGGGATTGTATGGCAGTGCATTGCGAAACATGCTAGTATTAACAGAAAAGTAAAACACTTTTGCAGGCCGGATAGGACTGTGTTGTGGGCCCGATCTGGCCCGCAGGCCTTGTGTTTGACACATGGGCTCTACAGAGAACACACTTCTGCACATTTTAATGCACAACTACTGTTTTAACATTTTGGAAAATAAAAATAAAACATAAAATGCAGTCTGTGCAAAAGTTACGGCAAATTTATATTTTTCTGTATTTATTTTTCCCAGTATTTAAGTTGCACTAAAAAATTACTACAATAGGATACAGCAGTTAGAAGAGCGCAGTTTTAGCTCCTGATTTCTGACTGCACTCCAGCCATTGTATAGATTTGATAAATTCCGTCAGCAGCACAGAACTGAGCTGAACTAGCTGCGTTGCACTGTTAATGTGCCATCTACATTCACCTTTTCAACAAAACAGAAATAAAATTATCTCCATTTGTTCCACAATCTCCTCTTGTTCTAAGATGTTGTCCTCAAACTCAGCCTTTTTCATTCTCCATAATTTCAACACTGAAAATAGCTAGCACGCTAACCCTGTTAACTGTCCTGCTGGTTTGTGCTGTTGTGAGTGAACAGCTAGACTTCTTCTCCAATGTAAAAGTTAAGCACCACTAGCTAATGTACTGACGTAGCAACTGTTAAAGGCTTTGCTACTAATTCCCAAATGAGGAACAGAAAGGTATAATTTATCCAAAAAACCCTAAAAACATATTGATATCACAGATTTTAATAATTATTTGATAATTATTGTTTTGTTATATTACTAAGGATGCCATGCACGCACCTATGGTGAAGGCCATGCCCTCCTCCATTTGCAAGTCATTGTCATTGGCTGTAAAAAAGACAAAACAATACAGAAAAAATGATCAGAATGTGGACAATAACTTTTCCAATCCAGCTTTTTTTTAGACATTACATATCTACAAATGTTTTGTTTTTTTTTGGTGTTTGTTCAGAAAAAAAACTGACTCTGCCATCATTCAAAAAAGGCCAGACTGATATAAATATTTTATAAACAAAATATGAATACTAATTTAAAGAACTTAAATTTCCAATAACAAATAACACTGGGACGATATAACGTAATATGGTCAAAAATTAAAACTGCGCTTTGCTGAATGATATCATTGTAAGTTATGGACTGTGAACTGTCAAATATGATTGTCAGTCCTCAAACAGCAGAAATCAACAAAGTCTTAAATACTACTAATATAGTAGAGTGGAAAGCCACTAAGGATCAGTGCTTTATCAGCAGGATTTTCACTGATACTGGTAAATCAGGCATCGAGTGATATTACTGGCCAGTGTATTTATCAGTCAGGCTCTAATTATAAACACTTATGGTCATTTCTTAGTTTCCATGACATCCCTGAACAGAGAAAACAGCACTAGTAAAACTGGTTAATAGCTTTGGTCCCACATGATGATAAAATAAGAGTGAATTAACAGTAAAAGCTCATTTCTTACCATGATGCCATATCTCTGGGTGACCGTGGAAATAGGACCCGATGCCATGACCGATGAAGTACGGACACACGCAAAAGCCGCTCGAGTTGGCGATTTCACTGCAATTCACAAACACACGGATTACAGCACTATATTAAAGATTCAAAATGACAACAGAAAGAACAAAAACACGCAAGTACAGGAGCACAGGCTACGGGGAGCGTGCTATGGGTCACTTTATCGATTTATCTGCTTAACCAGGATGACCTCTTGGTTGCTATAGCAGCACAGGTCAGGCTGCCATTGTGTAAAATTACTTTAAAAGGCAGCAATTTGCCCACTAGTGAGAAGTTACCCCCAAACAGAAGCTGAGAGAGAGGAAAGTGGAGCAATTTACTGCACCCGCAATGGCCTTTCAGTCTATCGGTTTCTAATAGAGAGATTGATTCAGTATGACTCAAGAAAATGATGGGGAAATGACCAAAAAAAAAGAGAGAGAGAGAGAGAGAGAGAGAGAGAGAGAGAGACAGGAAGAAAGAGAGAGCAAAAAGAGAAAAGAAAAACAGAGAAGACACAAAACAGAAAGAGAAAAGGAGAGCAAAAAAGAAAGAGAGAGAAAGATAGAGGGGGAGAGAGAGAGGTAAGTAGGGAGAGAGAAGAGAAGGAGGGAGAGAGGGAGAAAAAGAGGGTAAGAGAGAGAAAAGTCAGAAAGAGAAAGAACAAAGAGAGAGCAAGAAAAAGAAACAGAAAGAGCAAAAAAAGAACATGTGTGAGAGATGAAGAAGGCGAGAGAAAGAGAGAGAGAAAAATAAATAGACAGTGAGAGTAAAAAGAGAGAGCGAGAAAGAGGGGAAGAGAGGAAAAAAGAGACAGAGAGAGAGAAAATGAGAGATGGAAACAAAAAAACAGAAAGAGAAAAAGAGAGCAAAAAGAAACTGAGAAAGAAGGAGAGAAAGATAAAGGGGATAGAGAGAGAAGGAGGAAAAGAGAGAGAGAGCGAGAGAGAAAAGTCAGACAGAGAGGGGACAAAGACAGAGAACAAGAAAAAGAAACAGAAAAAGAGCAAAAAGAGAAAGAGAGAGAGAGAGAGACAGAGAGAAATAAAGCCAGTGAGAGTAAAAAGAGAGCGCGAAAGAGAGATAGAGAGGGAAAGAATGAGAGGTAGAGAGAGAAACAAAGGAAAAGAGATAAAAGGCAGAGAGGAGTAAGTGCTCTTTCCTGAGGAGAGGTAATGGGTTCCTGTGTGTGTGTAATGACAGTGTTGGTCTCTGCAGACTCTCTGAACTCTGAACATAGAGAGAGAACAAGAGAAAAAAAAAGACAAGGAGGGAGAGAGAGAGGGTGAGAGAGAGAATGGAGAGAGAAAAAGAGAGGGAATAGAAGAAGGAAGAGAGAGAAGGAGGGAGGGTGAAAGAGAGAGAAAGAGAGTAAGAGAGAGGAAGACAATAACAAAAACAGCTTCCTCACACACAGACGCACATCTGGGGCTGCATGAAAACACATACAATCAAACAGTGTGGAAATCTCAGTGTTAACACACAGAAGGTTTATTAAACAAGACTGAAAAACAGCAACAGATCAAAAAATATCCAAAGAACTAATGACGTTAGAATTCTATTGGTATCAGCAGACAACTGCTTGAAGTGTCCATATCACACACACATCATCTAAACTGCTTATCCTTCTGGGTCATGGTGGGCCACTGGAGCCTATCCCAGCTGTCATTGGGCGGAAGGCAGGATACACCCTGGACAGGTCGCCAGTCCATCGCAGGGCAGACAGACAGACATACACATGCACACACACACTCACACCTAGGGGCAATTTTAGCGTGTCCAATCAGCCTGACTGCATGTCTTTGGACTGTGGGAGGAAACCGGAGAACCTGGAGGAAACCCACGCAGACACGGGGAGAACATGCAAACTCCACACAGAAAGGACCCTGGTCTCCCGGCCGGGAATCGAACCCAGGCCCTTCTTGCTGTGAGGCGACAGCGCTACCCACTGAGCCACTGTTTTTTTGTTACAAGATTACAAGAATCTGTAATCACTGAATAATGTATGGCAGTTACTGAATATGGTGCAGTCCATCCAGTCTATACACAGAAACTAACCTGCATCTGTGATGTCACAAAATCTAACTCATTTATAAATATCCAGCTATTCAGCCTACAGCAGTTTAGCTCCACTCATTCACATTGAAACTATAAGGAGTGTTTCAGCCTTCTCTGCTTTTTGAACTAGGAAGAATACAGAGCAGCCAATCAGAAAAGAGCTCATTTACAAATTGGTCTTAAAGGCATTGTAATGAAAACTGTTTGTTTTATTCTGAAGGGACAAAGAGAGGGTGGAAAATGCTCATGTAAAAATGAATGACAACAGTTTTGGTACATAAAACCAGTCAAATGTTACAAATGTACTTTTGTGCAGGGAGAACAATAAAATACTAGAAAAATTAAGATATAGACCCTTTAAAAAAACAAATGATCTGCAACAGACACATGGTTAGATTTGACAGATCTTTCAAACCAATATTCGGTGTAACTGTCTAAACACTGGCCCTAACTTCAGGTATCGATGGGTGGAAGTCTGGCCTCCGTTCCTCTGGGTGGAAAAGGCTGGCCCTTCATAGTAACTACTAATGTATAGTTACTGAATAATGTATACCATTGCTGAATAATTCATAGTAATTATTGAATAATTCATAATAGCTGCTGAATAATTCATAGTAGCTACGGAATACTGTATAGTAGTTAGTGAATAATTAAAAGTAGCTACAGAATAATTCACAGTTGTTACAGAATAATTCATAGTAGCTACTGAATAATTCATAATAGTTACAAAATAATTTGCACTGGTTAATTCATAATTAATAGTAGTTAATAATAACTAAGAAATCCTTAAACATTCACAGACTTCATCGTTCTAAGGCTTATTATTCAGCAAAAACATGGAAAACAATGCAAAACGATTTAGTGATTATTAATTTAAAAGAATTGGGAAATAACTGGAAGTCGGTACATTAAAAAAACTCTAAAACCTGTGCAATCTTTTCTCTTTTAATAGAGTAATGTTTCAGTGCTGCTGTATCATTTATGTGATATGTAAAACACATGACACAGAAAGCCCTAAATCCACATGCTGATCCATTTTACTATCACCAATGTGGACATGCACACTGCCTGACTACACTGGAGAAAGATTTTAATTAATTAAGGGAAACAAAGACCAAGACTCTGAATATACTGCTGATATGTTATTTTGAAATATATTTACCCATACATGAAGAAATATCCCTAAAAATATAAGTGTTGACAGATACAGAATTGGAAATGATCGCTATTGCCTGTAAATTTTCATATTGGCACATAACTCCATAAAGCCTGCAGTCTGAGTGCTTAATGAGCCTAAATACAAAACTATCCTGAAAAACATCACAATCGACAAACAAGAACTGAAAATATCAATTTTCATACTGACATAACTCCATTAAAGCCATATTATACTGCAGGTTGAGTGCTTTGTGAGACAGTATACAAGGAACTTGGCCAAATAGCCTTATCCTTAAAAATATCAGTACTGACTGACAGAGAATTGGGAATATCAATAATCGGTATGGTCTGTAAATTTTCAGTAGTAGTTGTAAAGTATGTACAGAGCTTTAGAACTTAAATATAAACATATTTTTAATATCAACATAAAACTCAATAAAAGTGGTTTCACTTTAAATTTTTTTTAGGGTATTATTTTTGTCAATACTGTTATACCGGTAGGCAAATAAACATAGATAACATGCTGATTCCCTCACCTCTCATGTAGTGAGTTGCAGCCTGAGGTAAGTTAGTCAAGGTTAATGTCAAAGGAGCAGACAGCAGATTGTAATGAGTTAATGGGTAGAGAGAATGGAAGGAAAAGCCAGTCTCTTGGGGTTAGCATGGAGACTAGCTGGCTTTCCATGTGCACTGCGTACAGCGCTCCTCATTCAGCCAGCTACTTCAGGCAATACCGCGGTCTCAGGCTACAAACTGAGTGGCTCTGCAGCTTCTCAGCTAAAACTGATAATGAAAACAGCTCACAATATTTATATTAATATACAAATTCCAGCAACGTCTAACGGTCCTAGATTAAAACTTGAGTGTAAGAGATGCATACATGAAACAAGTGACTTTCGGACGTAAAGTAACATTCAGCACTGTTTCTGCAAGGCCGAGAGATACACTCTTTACATACACTCGCCTTCATCTCATTAGAGTTCGAAAACATCTGAGACATCTGTCTATATCGTTTCTTTTTTTCTGTTTTTACTATTTCGTCCAATAAAAATATTTTAGATTTACTTCAGTTAATGTTTCTTATTAAAAGAGAAGGAACATCCAGAATAATATGTTATTGTTAATCCACAAAAAAGGTTAACTTAAGCATCCAAATGAGTTTCATTTGAAAAAAAAATATACATAAATACACCATACTGTGACCATCATCATCTTAATTATACAGAGATATTAATCTTTGCCCATACTGCCACTACTACTGCTTAGTGATACAGCATGGAAGGAGCTTTATAGTCTAAATATAGAAAAATAAATCCTTAAAAATATCAGTATCAACAGATGCAGAATTCAAAATATCAATAACTGGTATTGCATGTCAACTTTTATATTGACGTAACTTCTTTAAAGCCATATTGTCGTGCAGCTTGAGTGCTTAGTCAGATAGCATTGAGGGAGTTTAATGGCCTAAATACAGAAAGTCAGTATCGACAGACACAGAATTCGAAATAACAATAATCAGCATTGTCTGTAAACCTTTTGTAGGTATTGGTCCATCTCTAATCAGTAAGGCTGAACTAACTCTATAAAAGCTGTATTGTTCTACAGTCTGAGTGCTTAGTGAGACAGTATGGAAGGAGCTTTATATGTATGTGTACTTCAGCGTGCCCTCTTTTCTCCCTCTTTTCTCCAAAGCCTCCTGTGGCTTTCAGTGCGTCTCTCGGCGGGGAGCTGGACCCTGCTTGGCAGACACTGCATTTCTCCAAGACAGCAGCAGCTAGCCTGTAATTTACATCTCACACACACACACACGCACACGCACACGAACACACGTACACACAGCGAGACGAGCTAACCTGTAATTTACACCCCATTGCAGGGAGAGAACCCCGGTGCACTCTGGGTAATTGCTCGTTCCACGCTAGCCCAGAAATACATTAACTCTATGTAGTGCCGCTCCATGTGCTGCACTAGCAAATGGAGGGTTCACAGCCTGTGCCCTCTTTTCATTCTCTTCTTTTCTCTCTCTCTCTCTTTTGCTCTCTCTCGCTTTCTCCCTCTTTTTTTATGTGGTGACAGTTTTCCCACAGGCAGGTTTTGGAGGTGACATCCTCATATTTCGTGTACGTGTTTGAGTGTGAAATTAATGCTCAGGCTGCTAATATAACAGTATAGAAAGCACAGGTTCAATTCTTTACCAAAAACAAAAGCCCTATGGAGGAGTGCTGGAACATTTGACCAGGGTGGGAGTGGTAGAGTTAATTATAGTTAATTGTACTGCGCGTATTTCTGAGGAAGGGCTTCTCGCTTTTTAACTCAGAACGGAAGAGGAACTGCACATAGTGCCTTTTCATACATATATGTTTCTGTGTTTCTTCCTCTGGTTCTAACTCATGATTTATATCTCAAACAAGTGTACCTGATCGTGTTACCAATAACACATAGTGGCTGTCCTGGTCCACACGCAGCGATGGCCTGGTCTCTGCACTGCCTCGCCACATCCACCAACTTCCTGCCTCGCTCGTCCACCGAACCAATCAAAAATGTCTCCGATGTGTCTCCATGGTAACCCTCCAGGTAAACCTACAGGGCACGAAAGCTCAAGAAACATCCAAACAACTGTAGTGGGCCAACTACTAGTCCACTTCATTTTCTAATTTTTTTTTAACTTAGAATTAAACAGTCTGTTTTTGCTACTGTGACATTAGAGCCCAATCCCATTTCTTATTTTTAACCCCTACCCCTTGTTTTCGAGTGTCAGCTTGCCCCTTGGGACTGAGTTACAAGGGTTAGTGGTTGAAATCTTCCCCTAACAAATGGGACAAGCCTTAAATAAAAAAAGAGCATTACTTCATTATCAGGCTACTAGCGCTGCTCTGTAGGCGACCCTGCCAGTCTGCAGTGACAGCAGAGGAGGGTAAAGTTCAGCAACCTCACTGCTGGGCTTTAGTTACATTTAGGGCATCATATGCCTTCAGAGGGGGGTTAAGACGATTATTTATTATCGCCCACCGCTAATTCTTTGGTGATATGAACCTGAAGTCAGCTATTCGCCAGCTTCTTGTTCGAAAAGGCAGAACAGGAAAATTAGCTAGCTAGCTAGCAACCGAGACATCAGCATACAACTAGCGTTTTATTATGCTTGTTATGACAAAAGGACCATAAAACATTGAAACAACATTAAACTAAGATAATGCAGTGATTTTCGTAATTTTTTTAACAGAGAATATTCTCACATTTGTGTGTTTCTTTAGCCATCTTGCTGGTTTTTCTTCTTTCTCAGAGTGTGCCTCTAAAAAACCCTCAGTTTAGAGGGCCATGTAGCCCTAACACTTCGCCCTACCCATCTATCTCAACAAAAATCGGGACACCCTACCCCTAGGCGTGAACGCACAAAATGGAGGGGTAAGGACAAAGTGGTAGGGGCAAGGCTAGAGATGGGATTGAGCCTAAGACTGATATGTGTCATTCAAAAAGCAGACTCCATTAACTTCAATGATGTGGGTGGAGCTGAACTACTTTAGGCTAAATAGGCCGATAGACGTAAATGAATTTTTAAATGAATTCAATAATGAAAACAATGAAAATATAATCCTTCATGGTTTCCCACAGCCATCTATTACTTATTTATTTGTTTATTTACAGAGTACCTCAGCCATAATGATGATGTCTTACTTTTTCTGGAGGTGAAGCAGCTCATGGAGTTGCGTTATAACTCACACATTCACTCACTCTTGTTTGGAGGGATTAAGAGCTGCCACAAGGGGGCGAGATTACCACTGAGGAATCTTCTGTTTGCATCACTGAAAGGTGGGAAACTGGCAGGAACCCACACAGTAGTGATGTAATCAGTGCTGTCAGTACTATTTTAAGCAGGAATATATTGTGATGATTTTAGACACTGACAAGCTGTAATCTACAAGTAAACAATAAACAACAGTAAAGAATTTTGGATGTCTGTGTGTGTGAGAGAGAGTGTTGGCACGTGTATGCACTCACAGTAACGTCTACGTTAATGATATCACCGTCTTGAAGCTGTCGACTGAAAAGGGAAAGTAAAATTAAACAAAATACAGTGCTCTGCAAAGTATTGAACACGCTTGATAGATATCAACATATTCTGGTTTTGAGTATTCAAAGTTGAGGTTAAATACTTATGCAACTAGCAAATTTTCATTTTCTTTAAAATATCTGGAGATAAAATTTATTATTAGGAGTATAGAAGTTTATAATAAAAATATTGCCTGGAAAAATATGTACCAGTATAAAAAAATATGTTTTGTGCTTATCTAATATCTCATCCAAGGGTATTAATAGGGAGTTTGTCCTCCTTTGCTGCAATAACTGCCTCCACTCTTCAGAGAACGCTTTACAATAGATGTCGGAGCATTGCTGTGAGGATTTGATTGCATTCAGCCACAAGAGCATTAGTGAGGTCAGGTACTGATGTTGGATGATCAGTTCTGAATCACTCCAGCTCATCCTAAAGGTACTGGATGGAGCTCCATCACTCCAGAGAACACAGTTCCACTGCGCCACAGCCGAAGGCTGATGGGTTTTACATCCCTCTAGCTGATGCTCTTCTGCAGCTGCTCCAGAGCATCCTGTTCTTTTGGTCAGTGCTTTTCTATCAAGATCATACAAGCTGTGTGCACCCAACTGAACACCTGGATTAATGAGTGACCTTAAAGTAGCAAAAGTCACTAATTCGAAGGTGTGTCTGGATTCGTTTGCACATAGAATGTATGTAAGTACCACTCTAAGTATGTAAGTAAACCAGAAAATGATAACTTTCAAAGGGGTATAATGTTAGCAAGGCACTTGATATATCTCAAAATCAGATAAACACATAAATGAAAGCTGTGCCAGTGTAGTATGTACCTGTCTGGTATGCCGTGACACACCACGTTGTTTACAGAGGTGCAGACTGATTTGGGGAATCCACCGTAGAGCAGAGGAGAGGGGTAGGCGTTGTGTCTGATCGCCTCCTGGTGCACAATGAAGTCTATTTCGTCTGTCGTCATGCCAACCTGGGATCAAAACAAGTGAAATATTAGCGGACAAACAACACAAACATACAGAGCCGGTGTCCACAGTCTGACCTCTTACTGGACTAATAAGGAGTTATGGAGCTTCTGCTATCAAGCCGAACCCACATTAAATCTATTCTTGAACTTGAAAACAGAGTATGAAGTAACTGCTGAGAGATTACACTGCAGTACCAGATAAAACATAATGTGAGTCGCAAAAACTCTTCTGTTCTCCATCTTATTCTGACAGCATTGGGCTCAAAAGAGCAAATATTTGGGTGAATTTATGGGATGTTGGGTTACCTAAAATTTAGTTTCCTTAGCTGGAGGGATGCTATCAGTCATTCCAAAGCACAATGAATAATGATTCCAGTATGAATCCGCAGTGTGTGTAGTATTTACAGTCTGACTGATGTAACTGTAGCGTGATTTGAGTCCAGTATTAGTCTGAAGTGTATGATGTTTTCCAATCTGACAGCAATATTTGTGATGTGATTTAAATCCAGTATGAATCCTCAGTGTGTGTAGTTTTTACAGCCTGATAATAACAATTGTGGTATTAATGGTCTTCTGTAGCTGACTGACCCCAAAGCCTGTTAATAGACACAGCTGTGTGCTGTGTTGTTATTGTCATTGAGTGTGGTGACTGAGCCGTAAGGCGGAACATTCAGGCTTTCGATTAAGACTATCGGTGATTAAATTGGGTAAATCCCATATGAATCGGCCAGTCAAATCACAGCAACATTAAAGAAGTAATTTGAATCCAGTATGAATCTGCAGTCCGTAATTTCTACAGTCTGACAGTTATGACTGTGGTGTGATAATGAATCCAGTATGAATCTGCAGTGTGTGTAGTTATTACAGTGTGACTGTAGTAACTGTAGTGTGATCTGAACCCAGTATGAATTTTTAGTCTGTAGTTTATAAGGTCTGACAATAATAACTTACGACTGTGGTGTGATCATGAATCCAGTATGAATTTGCAGTGCGTGTAGTTTTCACAGTTTCATAACAATAATCATGGAATGATGCTCTTTGGCAGCTGATTTAACCCAAAATCTGCTATTAGGCATGGCCGAGTGCTGTGTTGTTACTGTCATTGAGTGTGGTGACAGGAGCATAAGGCTGAACATCCAGGCTATGACCTTTTAATCTAGATTACTGGTGATAAATTTGGTTGAATCCTGTATGAATCGGCCAGTCAAATCACTTACAAATATTACAGAACCCTCCCTGTTAAAATGAATCTAGCTCAAACAGGCCTTAGCATATATAAATATATTTTTTACTAAAATTAGTCAAATGAGCACACCCTGGGCTCACCCAGCTCCAAAGTCAGGAAAACCATATTCTGGAATGGTTAGAAATGTCGTAGAACATTCTGGATGTTTGTGGTGTAATGTTATGGAATGTTCTGGAAGCAGTCAAATGTACCTTGAGGCTGTTTCCAGCGAGCAGGAGAATGTGTCTGGCGAGCTGGCAGGCTCTCCTCAAACCCTGAATCTGCTCTTCATCTTTAATCTCAATGTAATCAGGCCACTCAGGCACTGTGCTCGACGAGACATAGTCCGGCTTCTGGATGTGCTGAGAAACAGAGAGATACATAATAATAATATTAATAATAATAATAATTATAATAATAATAATAATATCCCTACTACTGATAATAATACTGCATTTTCACTGCTATAATAAAACTTTTAATCTCTGGAAGCTTTACAGAAAAAGGGAAAATGTTCTTTACTTTAAAATATATTCATGTTGCAACTACTAATTTTCAGTACAAATTCTATTAGTACTACTAATAATTACTAATTATTAATGTTGGACCATTTACATTGGCCAGTTTCTAATTCTAGTAACTGTCATTTGATTTATAATCCATCCTGTTCGGAGACGTGAATGGCAGAGACCGCAGCACGCTCCACAGGAACACATCAGACGCCACGGCCACTCATTTCAAAGTCTTATCAAACAGTCTGCATCAGACTTCAAGCTAGACAGTAAAGAGACGACTAAGCCAAGTTCATGTTTTGTCACTGGATTTGTAGTTCCTCTCATGTAGACACGATATTTAAAATTCATATTCATGTGTGTGAGTGTATGCGCATGTGTGGCATAAGACTTTACCGGCAAGTCATCATGGTTAAAAATGAAAAAAATCAAAGTTCCTTTAAAAATGTCTTTCTCTCATGGTCTTGATAATGTTTTCAGATTAGGAGTACTGCTCTAAGTTAATAGCTGCAGGCAGAGAAAAGTTCTGGTTCTAGACTAGCACTAACGTTAAACTGCTAACCTGTGACAGAAGCGCTAATCCAGAATTAATATCACACCATTGTGCTGGCATAACAGTTTGCCAAAGTCAAAGTCTAGACTTAACATAAAATCCTACAACTACTACATCTACTACATCTGTATTCAATGAAAGACTAGAAGTAAACAAAACCCTTGACTAACCATGCTAACATGGCTAACAATGAATGGAAATTTAATTCCATCTGCATAATGCTATCTGTTAGCTGTTTTCAATGTTAGCTAGAATTTTAAACTCATATTTCATATTATAACTTAATGTTAGAAGTCTACAGTTATTGTCATTTTGTTATAAGTTGAATTTACATTACATAATAATCTCTGTTACTGCTTATTTAATAAAATAGTAATAATGATTTACCTCAAAATGTCATTGTTTACATTCTACATCAACAGGTTTAAGTCTGCACTTGTGACTTTTTCTGAAGTGTATTTCTTTCTGATTAATTTTGAATCACAATATCTACTCTACTCACAAATGTGATATGGGTTGAAAGTTAGATCTGCACTTCACACAAAGTTCTTTGCTTGTTTGAAAAAATAATTGCTATGAAATGCCAAATTAGAAAATCTGTTGTTACCTTTGGTACAGCATAAGGAGGGCGCACCACAGCCGGCCTAACTACACTGTGTGAACTCGTCCACTTCCTCCAGAAGAAGCATCGGTGTGGCTGGCACTGGGCTCCAGATGGGCACTGCCGGCGTCCAGGCAATCGTGCTGCTCTCTGCAACAGCCCCGAGCCTGCTGACCACAAACCCAACCAAAAAACAACCATGACAAAAATGTTTCATGGAAATTTAATGGCTCATATTCTGTATTTGTCTTGTATTGTGGTTTTATGTACCAAAACAATAGCATTTTTATGATCATTTTCCAATCTGTCTTTATCCCTTAGAAATAGACAGGCTGCAAGTTACTGCCTTTCAACTGATATATGCAAATTACATTTTTCTGAAGTTCACAGTGAAATCCTCAGGACATCTGAAATAATAAACTTCAGCCGCTCCTTTTAGATGTGTGGATCCTCTGGAAGGCTGTAATGATCCATTTCCTTCCCGACAGACATGAACAGCACAGCGTTTAATCATTTTCACCACATCTTCTACTCTAATACCTCTGATACAGACTGTCTGCAGTAACAACACTCTACATCACTTTGCTGAATGTGTGGTCATATGTAAATGTGTGACATCACAACCATAAATAAAAGAGTGTAAACACACATAAAACTTCAAGGCATACACCTTTACAGGCCATGCAGTCCATATATGGAAATTAAGCTGTAAACAAAGCATGTTTTGAATTGGTTTTGTGATGTCACAACCACTTCATTTACATACATCTGCCTATACAGCAGTGTAGCCCAGCCCATTCACTCTGAAGTTATACGGAGTGTTTCAGTACAACCTATTTTTTTTACCAAGGCACAGTACAGGGCAGCCAATCAAAACAGAGCTTATTTACATATATCAGTCTTAATGGCACAGTACCAAAAATAGCCAGTTTAATTTTAAGGGACAAAGACAGGTTAGAGAATGAATTACGACTGTTTTGCACATAAAACCACACAAGCAGGAAAAAATAAAATACAAGAAAATGTAGAATATGGGCCCTTTAATAAAAGCATGATTCAGCCATAGAACAACCAAAATACCGAAACGGCACATCCCAGCCAGACTGCATAGGCTACTGTGAAAACAAGAAGTGATGCATAGAACGCGGACCACAAAGTTAGAATATATTCGGAGCAGAACTCGGAGGCCACAGACCCAGAATAGATCTCCCGTTCTACACAAGAGAGAGAGAGGCTGGGTGGGGAGAAAAGCCACGGACTGTGGCCTTCTCTGATGAAGAGACCAGTGGCAAAGGAAGTGTGGTGGTGAAGGAGGGGGTGGGGGAGAGGAAAGAGACAGAGAAAGAAGAGAGGGAGAGAGAGAGAGAGAGAGAGCGAGAGAGAGGAAAAAAGAAAAAGAAAAGAAAGGGGCTCATGGGTGGATAAAGGCACAGCAATGTGGGTGGTGCAATCAAAAGAAAGGATATGGCTGAGGATGTGGAGTGAAGCGAGCCTCCTCTGAAGTGTGTGTGTGGTGCTCAGGGTTCATTTCAACAGGGTGATAATTCACAATCCCTTTGCAGCCGACAACAACTAGCCTAAACGGAGGTCTAAAGGCGAGAGACGCACTGCCACCAACACACTCATGTTCACAGTTGTTTAGAAAAAGAGCTAATAAGCCCAATGAGCCAGGGTTAACAGGAGGAGAACGTTCTAATACAGCATAGATGGAGGGACCACTCTAGAGCTGCGTGAAGGAGGGGACAACACACTTAAACAGTGTGAACGTGGAGAACATTCAGAACAGCATGAATAGGGAAAAGCACTGTAGAACATTGTGCATGGGGAGGACATTCTAGAAAAGTATGAAAAAGAAAGAACAATCTAGAAAAGCACAAAGAGGAAAGAACAATCTAGAATAGCATGAAAAGGAAAGAACAATCTAGAATAGCATGAAGAGGAAAGAACAATCTAGAATAGTATGAAAAGGAAAGAACAATCTAGAATAGCATGAAGAGGAAAGAACAATCTAGAATAGCATGAAAAGGAAAGAACAATCTAGAATAGCATGAAAAGGAAAGAACAATCTAGAATAGTATGAAGAGGAAAGAACAATCTAGAATAGTATGAAGAGGAAAGAACAATCTAGAATAGCATGAAAGGAAAGAACAATCTAGAATAGCATAAATGAATGAATATTCTATGACAGTATGAATAGAGGGAGAGCATTCTAGAACAGCATGAAGGGGTGAACATTCTAGAACAGCATGAATAGAAGTGTGAATGGGAAGAACATTGTACAACAGCATGAATAAGAGAGACCATTCAAATACAGTATGAACAGGGGGACATTCTAAAAGAGTGTTAATGGGGTGAATATTCTAGAACAGGGTGAATGGGGAGAAAATTCTAGAACAGCATGAACAGAGGAGCACAATGTAGAACAGTGTACACTGGGAGAAAATTCTAGAACAACATGAATGGAGAGAACATTGCAGAGCAGTGTGAATGGATACTGTGTTAGAATGTTCTCGCTCCCATTCATACTGTTCTAGAATATTATCTCACCATTCACGCTGTTCTAGAATGTTCTCTTACCTATTCATACTGTCCTAGAATACTCTCTTCTCTATTCATAATGTTCTAGAACATTCTTTCCCTCTGTTCATACTGTTCTAGAATGTCCTCTCCCTATATTCATAATGTTCTAGAATGTTCTCCACGTTCATGTTGTTATAGAACGGTCCCTCCTTTTATTCATTCTGTTCTAGAATGTTCATTTATTCATGCTGTTCTAGATTGTTCAGTATGAATAGGAAAGAGAACATTATAGAACAGTATGAAAAAGGGGAGAGAACCTTCTAAAACACTGTGAATGGGGGTCTGTTTTGACCCAGTTCAGGGTCAGGCCATGACACAAAATGAGAGTGGGCTCTCTCCACAGTCCTGCTGCCAGACCAAACAACGGTCACTCTTCCAACAGTAAACCAGCTCAGGGTTATTTACGTTTTCTTGAAAGTCTCAATGGCAGGATTTTAACCGCTGCGAGGAAAAGTTGCTTTGGGGACGATCATACGCCTAAAATAATAAACAAAAACAACTAACGACTACAGATCTAGAACAGTGTCAATAAGGGGAAACATTCTAGAACACTATGAATAGGTGAGAACATCTGATAGGTTATTTGTCATGTCATGCAGTGTACTGTAGTGCAGCACTACATCCCTCAGCCTCATCGGTCTCAATATCCAGAAAGCATCGTGCAAATACGTCACACAACCATTACGAATCCCCCCTACTGCGATAAAGACGTGCGCTGACAGAGGCTACTAAAACAGGCATCGTATTAATCTAGCAGTAACATCAGCTTTTTAGGCTTTCTTCTGCATTAGGCAGCTAATAAAAAAAACATTTCAAACAGCCCATCCTCATGTATCCCCCCACCAAAGCACTTGTAGTTCCTCCCACCTTCAAGATCCTTCATCAAAAGGGGCTTTTCTAGTCTTTAAACCAGAAAATCTCACTCAGGATCTTGCAGCACCACTGTAGGAGGCAAGTAGGCATGTTTACAACAGATGTAGTGATGGTTAAACTTTTCATACTGGCGGGACTGCTACATGTGCAGCACTATCAGAAATAACCATAGAGAAAGAGTGACCCTATACTGGGAAGTTGTGCCTTTTAAAGGGGCTGCATTCTATATTTTTCTTGAGGTTTTTTTTTTCCCTTGAGGTTGACTTTATTATATTTCTGCGGCTTTAGGTACCAAAAACAGTAATTTTCACATGAACACTTTCCAAACTCTCTTTATCCTTCAGAATAAAAACATCTGTTCAATCACTGTGCTTTTAAGATGCATGCAAGTATGTAAATGACCCCTGCTCTGATAGGCTGTCCTCATTCAAAAAGTAGTGGAAAAACTAGGCCGAAAAATGTAAATGGGCAGGGTTGAACCACAGTAGGCATGTTACAGATATCAGTAGGCCGTGGTCAGAGATCTGTAAAATGAGTTTTAGTAAAAACAAAGAATTCTATCTTTCCATCGTGGGCTTTTTTTAGCATATCTTCCATATATGGACAGTATAGACTAGAGAGTGAATAGCATAGAAACTGTGCATTCTACATTAAAGGTTTTAACTTTAAAGAAAGCAAATGTTTTTTCATGATATGGACCTTTTAAAACACAATTACAAGAGCAAAACCCCTGGAATAACATGTTAAGGATACAATAAATCACTGGTAAACGAATGCCACAATTAAACTAACAAAACAGTCAATGATCCTGACAACATTGTGTGCATCCATACACAAAATGGACGGCAAGTAAAAAATGCCCTTTAAAAATAGTTTCCCACCCTTGTATGCAGTGGCAGTGAAGTATATACACTCACTGACCACTTTATTAGGTACATCTACCTAGTATTTACACTCATTGACCATTTTTTCACCTCCACATACCACAGAGGTCCACTTTATAGTTCTACAGTTACAGACTGTAGTCCATCTGTTTCTCCACGTAATTTGATATCCCATCTTTACCCTGTTCAGCAATGGTCAGGACCCCCATAGGACCACCACAGAGCAGGTATTATTTGGGTAGTGGATCATTCTCAGCACTGCAGTGACACTGATGGTGGTGGTGTGTTAGTGTGTGTTGTGCTGGCAGGAGTGGATCAGACACTGCAGCGCTGCTGGAGTTTTTAAACACCTCATTGTCACTGCTGGACTGAGAATAGTCCACAAATCAAAACATCCAGCCAGCAGAGCCATTTGGGCAGAGCCCTGTTGCCACTGATGAAGGACTAGAGGATGACCAACACAAACTGTGCAACAACAGATGAGCTACTGTCTCTAACTTTACATCTACAAGGTACTAACAAGGTATAATAGAGTGGACAGTGAGTGGACACAGTGTTTAAAAATCCAGCAGCACTGCTGTGTCTGATCCACTCAGACCAGCACAACACATACTAACACACCACCACCACGTCAGTGTTACTGCAGTGCTGAGAATGATCCACCACCCAAATAGTACCTGCTCTGTGAGGGTCCATGGGGGTCCTGACCACTGAAGAACAGGGTAAAAGGGGGCTAACAAAGTATGCAGAGAAACAGATGGACTACAGTCTGTAACTGTAGAACTACAAAGTGCACCTATATAGTAAGTGGAACTGATAAAATGGACAATGAGCGTAGAAACAAGGAGGTGCCCAGTGAGTTTATATCATGGTATCATGACATCAGACAAGAAGTTAGCATTAATAAAGTTATTAAAGTTACAGTTATAAGATATTATTTCTTCCTGAACACTTCTACTCTACAATAAAAGAATGTCTGACTAAGCTGACATAGCTTGCTTTGCCCTTTACTGTACCCACACAGAAAGCACATTTCCAGAAAGGAAGATATATATATATAGAGAGAGCGAGATAGAGAGAGAGAGAGATAGATATAGATATATCTTCCTTTCTGGAAATGTGCTTTCTTATATTTTAATATAAACAACATTATCTGGTCTTTAATGGGCCAAACTGGCATTTCAAAATTGTTCAATTTTAAAACACTTGCCCATTTAAATAACATGAATCAAATAAAGTGATACATGGAAAGTAAGAAGCAACTGGCTGTTTGGAACAGTGAATCATGCATAATTATACCACAACATTTTGGTACAGGTGTAGTAGCAGCATTCAAACACAGTGCGAGTGTGCTTACCTGCCTCATGTTATTTACCTCATAAAGCTGCCAAAATAAAATAATAAATCGGCCAAGTGCTGATTTCATGATCTGAGCACAAATATCTACCGGTTCCATCTTTGCTGCTTCCAACTGTGCATCACTAGATTATATCCACCTGGATTAGCATTACAGAGGTATCTAACATTTATTTCTATCCAGGTACAATTGCAGTATAATTATTATTAATTATTTTTAAAATGCAAAAAATTTAGCGCAGTAGTCCAGCATCACCTGAACTTTCTGTTCATCCGGAATCCAATAAATACATCAACAGACATTAGAAATATCAGTTAAATCCATCCAAACCTGTGAAAGACACTGATACTCGATACGATCCCAATCATCTCTAATATTTAATTGTACCGTTGCTGTCACTGAAAAACCTTGCATCTCAATTTTTATTGTTTTTTACTTAACTGGATTAGTTAAAAACTCCAGTTACTCTTTGCATTGTGTTCAAATTTCATGATCAATGGATCAAAAGAAATGATCAAAAATTATTTGCTCCATTAACTTCCATTATAGGTCAAGAAGGATTTTGTTTCTTCTGTAAAATTACCATTTTGGAGATATGAGATTTTGTTCCGACAGCAGTGATTTACATATTTCAACTGTTCTTTTAAAACAATCTGAAGCATCCAGTAAATGCCTTTCTTAACTGTCAGGTCCTGGACACCAGGCAAAGAGCCAAATATAGAATAAAAAACTTAAAACAATCCACATGGCAAGACTGACACTACTTTAGTGGCTATTTTACTGATGGTACACCATGGATCTGCCCACGTGCCAGATACTCTGGGGTCCCATCCCCACAAACCAACTGATAACAATAATGCTGAGCAGGTCTTAGGATGGTTTCGCTGAAGTTTAGGTGGTTCTGAAGGTCCAGAGGTCATCAGCAAAGATATACAGAAATATGTATGACTAGAGAAAGTGCTAGTGAAACATGGAGCAATCTTTTGGTGACCCTGGGCAGTCACTCAGGTCACTCATACGGTAGGTCCGGCCATGGGCCTGCCAAATATATTGCTAAAACTGATAAGCACTATCACGGTGTGGTATAACTGTACCAGAACATGGCTTCAATTCTCGTATCCAGGAAAACTTTACAAGCCATTCTTCTTGAGCAGTATCAAAGCCTAGTAGTTCATCTGACCAAAATAAAAACATGTTAAACTTTGAATATTAACAAAGAAAAAAAGGAATTATTTCATGAGACCTGCAGTTTTCTTATTTATTTTTCCATTTCTATTTTGATTATTGTATTATTGCATACTGATGCACAATTTCATATCATACAGGCCTTTTTTTCTTCTTTTCTTGTTCTACCTGTATTCCTCTACCTACTTCACAATCTGTACTCTCTATGCTTTGTTTTATGTTATGAAAAATGCCCAATAAAAACACTTACTCAAGGATTTACTAGCTGACTGACTGAGCCACTGACCATCAAAACACATAGTTCAGCCAAAAGCTAATACTAACGATATTAAAGCAACAGGGCAGCAGTTACCATGACGCAAATATGACCAAGCTAACCGATGCCGACTACTTTCCATTCGCTGTTAGCCACGTTAGCATTTGGTCCAGCTATTCCTTTAACAGCTGTGGCGTCAGAAAACCACAACAATGTCAAACTGCAGCAGTTCCCTGAACTTACTATCGGGCTCTTACAGGAATCCTGCAGAACCTCCAGCACGGTCACCGCACATCTCTTACTTCTGAGCTGATTTGCGAGCAGTTTAAAAACACACATCACCGCCAAGTCAGAGGAAACGCGTTTCCGGTACATGACACGTTTTAATGCTGGTGGGGGGAAAAATCGGGGTCTTAGTAAGTTGCGCTGCAGGTTAAATAAAACTAAAACTCTTCTTACCAGAGACAAACACGCCCCTTACGGCACAGGGCGCTGCCATGTTTTCTGCACAGCGACAGTCACGTGACCCACGCATGGCAAACGGTGCCTTCTCAACATACAGTAGTGTAGACTTCAGTGTGTGTGTGTGGTTCATAATGTACAGCAGTGTAGACTTCAGTGTGTGTGTGTGGTTCATAATGTACAGCAGTGTAGACTTTAGTGTGTGTGTGTGTGTGTGTGGTTCATAATCTACAGCAGTGTAGACTTCAGTGTGTGTGTGTGGTTCATAATGTACAGTAGTGTAGACTTCAGTGTGTGTGTGTGGTTCATAATGTACAGCAGTGTAGACTTCAGTGTGTGTGTGTGGTTCATAATCTACAGCAGTGTAGACTTTAGTGTGTGTGTGTGTGTGTGTGGTTCATAATCTACAGCAGTGTAGACTTCAGTGTGTGTGTGGTTCATAATGTACAGCAGTGTAGACTTCAGTGTGTGTGTGTGGTTCATAATGTACAGTAGTGTAGACTTCAGTGTGTGTGTGTGGTTCATAATGTACAGTAGTGTAGACTTCAGTGTGTGTGTGTGGTTCATAATGTACAGTAGTGTAGACTTCAGTGTGTGTGTGTGGTTCATAATGTACAGCAGTGTAGACTTTAGTGTGTGTGTGTGTGTGTGGTTCATAATCTACAGCAGTGTAGACTTTAGTGTGTGTGTGTGTGTGGTTCATAATCTACAGCAGTGTAGACTTCAGTGTGTGTGTGTGTGTGGTTCATAATCTACAGCAGTGTAGACTTTAGTGTGTGTGTGTGTGTGTGGTTCATAATGTACAGCAGTGTAGACTTCAGTGTGTGTGTGTGTGTGGTTCATAATCTACAGCAGTGTAGACTTTAGTGTGTGTGTGTGTGTGTGGTTCATAATCTACAGCAGTGTAGACTTTAGTGTGTGTGTGTGGTTCATAATGTACAGCAGTGTAGACTTCAGTGTGTGTGTGTGTGTGTGGTTCATAATGTACAGCAGTGTAGACTTCAGCGTGTGTGTGTGTGTGTGGTTCATAATGTACAGCAGTGTAGACTTCAGCGTGTGTGTGTGGTTCATAATGTACAGCAGTGTAGACTTTAGTGTGTGTGTGTGTGGTTCATAATGTACAGCAGTGTAGACTTTAGTGTGTGTGTGTGGTTCATAATCTACAGCAGTGTAGACTTTAGTGTGTGTGCTTCATAATGTACACCAGTCTAGAGCTTTTAAAAGATTATAAATTTGTTATTTAAACATCTTAATGTTTTTATTTATTTATTTATTTGTGTTTACATTAGTTTCCACTCAAAATCTAAATCTGCAACATTTGACTGAGTTTAAATTATAATGTACATACTTAAAAAGATGGTTCTTCAAGAGTTCTTTAATAAAGCAGTTGCTTTGTGCAATAGAACTGATCTACACCACACACTTCCTTTTTCATTCAAGTCTATGTTTTGTCAAACCTAGAATTCAGACTTTAGTCATGGCTCTTTATTCACACATTGATGTTAATTCTCGTATGAGCAATTATTCATAGAAGCTTCTTACCTCACTGAAAATCTGATCGTCTCATCTTTTTCGTGTACAATGACGATAAACAACAAAGACTTTTTTTTTGCTTATCTTTACCAGTGGTGCCTTTAGTCCCTGTAGGTGATAAATCTGCACTCTCAGCTTTATCATCAGGTTCCAAAACAAGCCGGCAAAGACAGGTCTTAACTACTACTGTGCTTTTTTTTCCTCAGCATCGTTCTCAGTTTAACTCTTTAAACTCTTAGCTTATTTTTAGAATTATTATTTTAAAAAATCATCAAATCAAAATGAATCATGGTGCAGTTTGTGATTTCATCATGATTTGAGCCATTTAATAAAAATCATAAACAAATCATTGTGAGGTCAGAAATGTATACTCCTATATTTATTCATTTATTAATCTTTAGACTTATTATTCAGTAACTACAGTGATTTATTCTGTATCTACTAAAATTATTCAGTATCTACTATGACTATTCACTATCTACCTATAAATTATAATAACTACAGTAACTCATTCAATATCCACTATAAATTATTTATTATTAATTATAATTAAGTATTATATTTATATTATTATATAATTAGTTGTCATTTCATAACTACTATGAAACTAATGTGAAAGTTACTTGGAGAGTGAGGAATTGAAGTGTGGGCCCACATACAGAGTTTAAGGGGTTAAAGGAACACTCCATCTTCGCGTGCTGCTGTGACGGACAAATAGTTAAACCTAGTTTGATCTCACATCCTTCACATCAATCAGCCTCTACTCGTTTAGGTTCAGTATTCCTTTAAACAGCTGTGCCGTCCTCAAGCTGTATTTCCAAAAGTCCTAATCCAGTATAAAGGGCACTTTGTACCAAATTTCTAATCCACCACTTTGGATGTATTTACATGTCTGATGGTCCTCAGGCTGGTCTTTATTGTGCAGTGAAGGGGCAGGATGGGTGGAGAGCTAGCAGGCTAATGCTGCACCTGCTGACCACTGGAGACCCCCAGACCACTCCGTCCTGCTTATGCAGAGTCTAGACCACTTCAGGCTAAGAGAGCAGAGAGATCTAGATAAAGAACCAATGAAAACTATGTAACATTATCATTTAGCTTCTTGTTTCTACACTCATTGTCCATTTTATCAGCCCCACTAACCATATAGCTGCACTTTGTATCGCTACAATTACAGACTGTAGTCCATCTGTTTCTCTCTATACTTTGTTAACCCCCTTTTACTCTGTTCTTCAAAGGTCAGGACCCCCACGTGACCACCACAAAGCAGGCATTATTTGGGTGATGGATCATTCTTAGCACTGCAGTGACCAGTGACACTGACGTGGTGGTGGTGTGTTAGTGTGTGTTGCGCTGGTACGAGTGGATCAGACACAGCAGTGCTGCTGGAGTTTGATTCCAACATGGATCTTAGCACTTTATAATTTCATAGCTTTAAAATAATAATAATAATTAGTAGGAAACAGAAAAAAATAATAATTTCTAGATGTGTCCAGAACAGTGAACAGAGCTGAAGATGAGTTGAAAATGACTCAGAAAGCTGTAGAACTCAGAGATGAAGGATTTTTGTGGGTCTTGAGGCAAATAACCTGTGAACAGATAATTACAGTATATGTACTTGGATCGTGAGAAGCAGAAAATACAAGCAACTTCTAAGACTGAACTTTAGAAGTGTGAAAAATATCGCTGCAGATTTCTCTGAAAAACTGAAAGTGAGTCTCCTGAAAAGAAGCTGTAATAAAGGTAAAGAGTGGACGCAATAAATACTGAAATATTTTATATTATATTTGGTTGATGAGTTTTCAGTGTAATTTTCTGTTAAATACAGATTTTCTGTTGTTTTTTTTTCCTCGAGCACAATGTATGTATACCTGCGTAATAAGGTAAAAGTCTGTATCGTAGCACATTGAAGCATTCCTTGGCCAAAGTAAGTGTTGTGGTTGTGTGAGCAGAATCGTGAAATCATAGCTGATAATTGTGGAGCTCAGCCGATCAGCAGGAATCCCTCAGCCTGTAGAATAAAACAGCCACAGCAGAGTAAACAGGCCTGAAATAGAGCTGCTGGGTGAGTCACGAGGGCAGTGTGTAGTTGTTTGGCTGCAGCGTGGGTGCACTTAGGTGAAGATGATGATGATGAGAAACTCTTCTGGGTGAGTAAACAGGTCAGACCAGAGACACACCAGGGTGTAATGTGTGACCTGTCTGTCTGGGACATCACACACACACACACACATACACACACAAAGTGACACACACACACACACACACACAGTGACACACACGTACACTGTGACACGGTGGTTTTGTTTTGACTTCAGACTATTGCTAAGAGTGGAATTTAGGCATGTCATCAAAACATGATGAAATTATTCTACCATCTAGTGGTAGACTACTGTATATACTCTCTCTCTCTGTGTGTGCGTGCGTGCGTGTGTGTGTGTGTGTGTGTGTGCGTGTGTGTGTGCGTGTGCGTGTGATGTTCCGAATAAGTCAAACTATAAATGTGTATATGTAGCAGTTACGTTGTAGAGGACCCCATGTTAATGGAGATTTAGAATGCATCTAACTTTTTTATGTATGCATACTATTTTTGGAAGTTAAAAAATAAAGTATGCACATTATTTTAAGTACTACTTTTGCTATACTTTTTAATACTACTTTTTAAAGTACACATTCTAGTTATTAAGTATACACACTGTATGCATGCTGTTTTTAAGTATCGCATTTAACTTTTTAATATGGTTGCTAATTTTAAACACACTATTTGTGTACTACAGTAAATCAGCAGGTCTAATGGGACACTGCCAATGTTCTGTAGAGACAAATGACTGCAGGGATCGGTCAGTTCACTCATCATATCACCACTTACATCACAGAGATGTGATTAAAAAGTAAAGTATGCATACTGCATTTTAAGTATACACACAATATCCATACTGTTTGTTTTAAACATGCACAGTACTTTTTGAATATACATAGTATGCATACTAGTTAGAAACCATGCGTACTATTTTTAAGTAGTATGCATACTTTAAAGATACTGCTTTTTAAAGTACGCATTCAACAAGTATGTATATTATTTTTAAAGTGTGCATAATACTTTTTGAAGTAAACATCGTACTTTTTAAAGTATGCATGCATACTTTTCTAAGCATACACAATTTACATACTATTTTTGTGCATACTATGCTTAAAGTGTGCATACTAATTTTTAAGAATGCATACTACTTAAAAATGCATGAGTATTCATACAATTTTTCAATGTGCACAGTATGCATCCTAATTTTTAAGTAAGCATACTACAATTTCAGAGTATGCATACTATTTCTAAGTCTGCACACATTATACATTACACATTAATTAAAATTATATTTAAACTTTAAAATAGTAAGCATACTCAATAAAGTAAA